TGGACTGACAAGGTTTATCAAGGCCAATGCTGATTGTCAATCCATATACACGGATATGCATTGAAAAATGTATTAACAGCATGCAATAGTAGGGAACCTATTATTCATAAACATGCTTCTTTATTATTAACAATCACTATAACTAAATATGTGCAATAGAGAAAATAATTGATGATGCAAGAACATCATGTGACATTCTCCTCTGTTTGCTGTGTCATTGATTGTTTGAGATCAAACACTTTGTCTCCTGCGGTGAATTTATTCAGGCATTTTGACTGTAACAGGGAAACTGGGCATGCTTGTGTAAGGTTGGGGTGTTTATTATAACCTATGCAGTATCTGCTACCTCTCCCTTCAAACACAGCTCCCCTTATTTACCAGAGATGCATCTCTCTGCAAGTGCACCTGTCTGTCCCTTTCTGTAGCTTTCAGCGTTGACTGGTTATTACTTGCACTGTGGAACCAATCACATAGAGCTGTAGGCAGGACATTGACCACAGAGTGACTGCAGGAAGAGCCAAAGTAGCACATTTCATTTATTTAATCTTGATTGAGTCATTTTATAACTTGACACTGATAATCAGAAAATGCTGAATACCGGCCATAACAATTGGCTGGGTTGATAATCGGTTGATCCCTACGCAGAACCGCTAGCATGCTCGTAACTTCTCATGCTTAAAGCCTTTCATGCTTTGACTCGATTTTGCTGTAAATTTGAAATAAAAAAATCCAAAGTGCCTCATCTTTCCAAATAGAACTGAACATTTTTAAGATTGTTTAGATTGTTGTGCCGTGGACTCCAACTGTGTACTTGAGGGCAGAAAAGTTGAGTTGCGCTCCATGTTAACTAAACCCTAAAGCTCTTGTCCAGCCCTTTTGGCTGAAAAACAACGTGTCTCTCGCTGACAGATTTTTCTTAAAGCACTTCAATAGTTTTGACATCAGTTACAGAAAATGACAGATGGTGAGGTGAGCTGAGACTAGCGCTTTCCCATGGCAGACATACCAAAATCTAAGCATCCCAGGGGACGGGGAAGATGATGGGCAGCAGCATGTGCTTTTGTTTTTTATCCCCGTCTTTGTGTATGTGAAAGAGACAAACAGAAAGTTAGGGTTACATTAGAACATCAGCGCAGTAAGTTTTCGTTCTGCAGATCTTCTTATTGATCTAAAGCCTCTCCTCTCCTGTTCCTTTGTAGGGGATTTTCTTTTTCATCTCCTAACTTTTACAAATTGTCTACTTTTGGGTTTGTAAGTGGCAAACCATAAACACAGGCAAATAGAAACGTACATGTCACACAGCTTTTATTCTATAGATGGCAAAGAATATAAAATTCAGTTCTGACATGCTGAGGGTTTGGACTCAGAATGCAGAGCAAAGGATTTCTTTCCCGGCATATTTTACAAACTTCTGACTCCATGCTCCTTCCAGGGTTGGTTAGTTTGTTTTTTATTTTCTTAAACAATTTACTGTTATTATACAGATTTTCCCTGTTTTGTTAAAGTACAGACAATATGAAGTAAAATCAGACAAAAAAATCACAGTGTATATGTTCACTTTTCTAAACAAAACCAACCCAAATCAGGTGAAAAAATATCAATTTTAAACATATTTGCTGTTATTTTCACAATTTCTATGGATTTTGAAAGTCAGAGTTTAGTGTGTTTTTTAGCCAACTGCGATGCACTTGTTGTAATTCTGAAAAAATATATAAAATATCACCACGTGTTTCTCAGAAAATTAACTATTTATCTGTATCTTATCTACCTATTGGTATGTTTTGTGTCCTCGCTGCGTCTCTCACTCATCTTGGAGGAGAACAACCTTTCCATCCACAGCCCTTCAAGAATCTGCAGGTCAAGATGATCACCCTTTCTGCCACTATGTGCATTATACGTATACATTCTGTTGACTATGACTAATGTGCTGCATTGATGTCAGACTTAGTGTTGATAACCTATACAGCACTTTCTCTCCTCTCCTCTCCTCTCCTCATCCATGCTGAACTAAGAGACAGCAGACAGGCAGAGAGGGGCTGCAGTGACAGTTAGATGCACACATCCTTGAGGCTTGCAATATGAGAGAAAACGAAAGGTTAAGTGGCTAGCAGTGGGAGAAAGAAAAAGGAGAGGTGCGGGGAGGGGCTGATAGCGATTCAGAAAGCGATCTCAAACATAGGTGTGACGAGCCCCGCGGGGACCTGCCGGGGCTGATGAATCTCCACCATCAGGGAGGCAAAGGCACAGAGACTGGGATGATGATGAAAGGGCAGCAGGACAGAGGCGTGGCGAGCTTCCACGTGTGTTCCCATGCATCATCATTACTCCTCTCCTCAAACATACCCCGCTCCCTCCCTCGCTTCCTTTGTTTCTAATAATTCTTCATCCTTGAACTTAAGCTCCCCTTTTTCTGCCCCCTCCCTGCTCCAGTATGAGAGAGTGTGTAACAGCCCGATGACAAGGCACAAAGGCTTCCATTGTGTCCCACATGCCTCGTACTACCAGCCTGGCAGGCCAGTGATGCGCTGCCTTGTAACCTAGCGGGAAGCTGAGAGTTGCCGCTGCCCTCCCCTTTCTCTCTCTCTCTCTCTCTCTCTCTGCCTCTGGAGATATAATGTAGCACGCTAACGCAACCTGACAGGCGGGCCACAAAGACTACCCTGTTAGAAACACTTGAGTGGGACTTTGCTTTGGGCAGGGGGAGGTGATTTGCATGTGTTTGTGTGTGTGTGTGTGTGTGTGTGAGAGAGTGAAAGACAGGGAGAGTGATTTTGTTGACCCAGTGGGGTGTCAACTCCGACGTGCAGGAGTCCCGTGGTAACAATTAGTACCCTTCGTTGTCCACACTGGAACCAACTGATCTCTCAAGGGGATGTGTGAATATGGATTCAGGATGGCATTTACTGAATGAAAACCCTGGCAGAGGCACCATCACTCTCCTTTAACATGCGAGGAGGACGGACCCAGTGGTAGGGGAGGGGATGTATATTCTTTGTGTGTAGTAGAATTTGGGGTTTTTTGTGTCTCATAGCTTCTGGGAACGTGGACCACAGGCTTGTGGCTTTTGAGTTGTGATGCATAGCCAGACTCAGCTTTTGTTTCCTTGACCCAAATTCCTGGCATTCATTGTACCAGTAGAAAGTCTATGGAGTTACATAATGGAGAGCCGTGCCTCTCTTTGCCCTGGCCCTCACTTGTACCTCTGCCATGCTGCAGTCACTGAACTGTTTCAACTTAAGTAAATCACCGGGCACACGCAGAGTGGCTAGAAGAACTCCAATATCACTACACAGCATTGCAGCATTTGAGTTTTGTTGCACACCCAGTAAGCGAGAGATTCGAAAATATTTTCAATTCCACGTCTTGACAGATTTCAAGGCAACATAATGCCGCCGATCTGCAGCCCCAGCGGTAGTTGTTTTATCCCCTTAGGGGCTGAATATGAATGAATTTAATTTACAATATTTTTGAATTAGCTTTTCATTCTCCCAGCGGCAGTCAAGTCTCTCCTTCAATACTTCCCGCTGAAAAAGTGGTGCCATAAAAACATACTGTTCAAGTTTCTGAGTAGGGCTCTTATGAAGTGTGGAATGCATGTTCCACACTTTAAAAATTTCATTACTTTCACCGTGGTAATGTTTCTCTTTGTTACTATGAAATATGCACTTTCTTTTTTTTTTTTTTAAATCGAAATTCTATCTGCCAATTTCTGCTGGTTTAAGCCCTCCATAGTGTGTCTGTATTGGTGATTAATTTTGAATGCGGTTGAAAAATATGTGAACTAAAAGCAAATCTACAATGACTTTGGAGTGTGCAGTTGATCAGTGAAGTACTAGACGTTAAGTGTCTGGCATGCTGTCTTGAAACTATGTAGTTTGACAAAATATTCATCAATAGATCAGCCAACAGCAGAATTAGTCTCAGGAAGCGGTATGTTACTGAATGACTGATTTCCTGCAGTAGCTTAATGCAGACCTTACTTGGAGTGTGTCATTATTCCCTGCCTGGCTTCTGCTTAACACTGATTTGTCAACGTTTCCTGATCTGGAGATCTTTAGAGCATCTTCTGCCAGACGCTGACAGAAAACATTAGCACTTTCTGCTCTTGTGGATCTGTATTTAAATCTGCATGAAAGAGAAAAAGCAGGCACGGAACACAGAACTCTGTTTTGATGAGGCACTTTGCAGGTATTATTGCAGCTGTAATAACTGTCAGAACAACTACCATATGATGTTTGATGTAGCACATCCTCGTGCTCACTGCCTCAGTCGACTGTGTTAGGCTAATTGTGCGCCCCCCTGCTAGGCAGTTTTAAGGAGAAAACGCCGGTTATTGATGCCCACAGTGTTACTGAAGGCATATTCAAAGCACATCCTGCATGTCCCCTTCTTGAGAAAGGAACTTCTGCTCCACACACAGCGGGAGTCCACACAGAGGAAGAGCGCGACGATGGCAAACACAAGGGATTTCTCTCTCTGTTTCTTCTTGCCCTCTTCATCTCGCTGTTTCCTCTCCATCACTCCGAGGAGAACAGAGAATCGGCTTCTTGAAAGTGTCTGTGCAGCCTCGACACTTCCTCAGACTTGGCTTGAACTGCGGTCGCTTCAGAGGAGAAACAGTTCTTAATGTTGTGGGGGTTTTTTTTTTTCCCTTTTTTGTCATGCATGCACGTGGAATTTAATGAAAGATGCCCAATTAATGTTTCGTCACATATGACAGTTTTAATATGTCATCTTTGCCACTTAGCACCCCAGCCTTCTCAGGCACAAATAATTGCTGTCCTGACAGGGACCTTGTTGATTTGTCACTTTTAGCAGGTGTTGTTGTCTGTTACAGGCTCGTGGTGTAGTTGGTTATAAATTTAAATTCCAGAATGTGTTTTTAATCGTCTCAAAATCAAATCATCAGAGTGGGTGTTTTGTAAATGAGGACCAAGCAGATGCCCTCGTCTGGGATTTAATTCTTGGACTGACCTGAATTTCTCTTTCCTCCCCTCCAGGCAAGGTGTTGAATACTGATTTGCGTCACTACCTCAGTCTGCAGTTTCAGAAGGGCTCCCTGGACCATAAGCTCCAGCAGGTGATCAGGGACAACCTGTACCTGCGCACCATTCCCTGTGAGTAGCTTCCACTGCCTTGGGCACCTCAGCCTCCTCTCTCTGTCTGGGTCTGCTTGTTGCCCTCTGAACTCCGCCAGATGGAGCCTGGTCTGTTCTCATCTGTAGCACTACATACTGCCATGCATTTTTCTCACCTGCTTATCCTGTGTTTTTTCTTAAAAAAAGAAGAAAAAAGTCCCTCTTTACCTGATTTACCCCGTTTCCTTCCCCCTCATCAGTTCACCAGTGTGACTTTCTACTGCAAAGCTTTCCTATTCTCTTCATAATCTCAGCATAATTAGCAAAGGCACCCAGTCTTGAGCCTAATGCAACTGCGATAGGTTCCGATAGGAAGTTCCAGCGTTATCTACCATTAGTAAAATATGTTTTAAGACTTCAGGGCTTGAACAAAAGAAGCTGCATTGGAATGGAGGGGAATAACACATTTTACAGAAATAAGTTTTGAGAGTGACTATATATGAAATATTGAATTAAAAGAGACACTTATTTTTCAGTTCCTGATTACCGACAGGCCTTGGTTATCTTATACTTTAAGGTGTGAAAGAGTAATGTTAAATTCCCTTCATTCTCTCCGTGCTTTGTACATTTGCTCCACTGCTCCTTTCAAAGTAGAAGAATAAGTAACCAGGACACAATGACTTTGTGTTTATACCCGAGTGATTTTAAAATGGACAACAAGGCCAACAGGCATAAATGAAAGAGCAGCTGCAATTCCCAAGGCTGCACAGCTGAGTTAAAGAAAATATATTTTTTGCCATTTATCACTGCTTCAGAAGGCTTTTATTATTTGTGTATCTCTCAGTTAGCATTTGGAAAGCTTTCTTATCTGACATTTTGCAGAGAAGGCAAGTTATTTTAAAAGGTATTTGAAGTTGCATTTAATGTCCACGTAACGTAGCGCTGATTAATTGGAGATAATCAGCTCGCATTTCTTTCTAATCTCGCAGTATAAACATGCCTGTTTGCTGTTATGGAAGTACATGAAATGACTTAGAGTTCAAAGCGCGAGGTCTCAGTGCTCGTCAACCAAGATAATAAAGAATGTAGAGTTAAGATCACTTAATCTCCCACATCTCAGACGTTGTGCCGAGTTTCCTCCCGTTATCTCAAAGATTATCGCAGTTATTAAAGCACTTACGGTGCACATCAGGTTCTGTTTCCACCCCATTCTGCACTTTAGGGAGTCATCATTGGAGTTACACACTGATCAGCTGAAACCACCTGATATTGTTTAGGTCCGACTTGTGTTGCAGAAACAGCTCTAACCCATTGGTCCAGAGACACTGTTCTGTCCTGTGGTGTCTGGCACCAGAACGTTGGTTGCAGATCCTTTGGGTCTTGTGGGTTGTGGGGTGGGGCCTCTGTTGCTCAGACTTGTCCCAACACATCCCATGACTGATAGACCAGATTGGGACCTGGGGAGTCAGGATGCCAAGTGTTTGGTTGACAGGAATGTTTAGATTGGTGGTACGTGTCAAAGTAACATCCTCATGAATGTCAGGACCCAGGTGGCTCCCAGCAGAGCATTGCATTGTCATGATGACCAGTGTTTTTCACCTCGCCAGTCAGTTCAGTCTAAGTAATGATGTTTAGATTCAAACACGATAAAAAAATATGCAACCGTTTGCATCAATGCGTTAGAGTTCAGACAACTTCTAATGAAATTATGTTCAACCAACAAACACGAAGTTGAAGGAAATAACTTTTCCTTTTCTATTAAAGATAATTTTAGTTACCACTTGTTTGATTAGCGGTAACAATAAAACAAGCTTTTATGCTGATTGCACGTGAATTATTTTAGAATATTTTTTTTCTTTTTTACCAGAGTTGTGAACACAAGTTATTAAGTTGACAACTGTTTAAACTTTGAAGATGCCTTGGTTAGATTTGAATTCATGTAGTTTTTAGGAAGAAACTAAGAAACTTTATTTTGAAATGTAGTTGTGTATTTTTTTTTTTTTTTTTAAAGATTTATTTTTGGACTTTTCCACCTTTAGTGATAGTTGAAAGTGAAAGATAGACAGAGAAACGTGGGGAGGAGAGTGGGGGAATGACATGCAGCAAATGAGCCACTGGCTGGAATCGAACCCGGGCTGCTGCATCGGGGACTATAGCCCCTGTGTATGGGTCGCCTGCCCTACCCGCTAAGCTATCCAGGTGCCCCAAAATGTAGTTGTGCATTTGAGCACACAAAAGTGACACTTTGAAATGTCCTTTTTGTTTTTGTATTGTAATGATCCCACCTACAGGCTGTCTAACACACTATCTTAACAGACTACATTTTTCAGGCATGTCATAGGGGAAGGAAATTGAAATCCTGAACTCATGGTAAGAAAAAATGTCATTAATTAACATAGAAATTTGAGTTTGAAGTACACACAATAGGGCTACAAGGTGGCGCAGTTGGTTAGCACTGTTGCCTCACAGCAAGAAGGTTGCCGGTTCGCGTCCCGGTCGGGCCACCGGAATCTTTCTGCGTGGAGTTTGCATGTTCTCCCCGTGCAGCGTGGGTTCTCTCCAGGTTCTCTGGCTTCCTCCCACAAGGTCCAGAAACATGTTGAGGTTAATTGGCGACTGTAAATTGCCCGTAGGTGTGAATGTGAGTGTGCTTGGTTGTCTGTCTGTAAGTGTGGCCCTGTGATAGACTGGTGACCTGTCCAGGGTGTCCCTGCCTTTCCCCTAAATCGGCTGGGATAGACTCCAGCCCCCCCGCAACCCTAGTGAGGATTAAGCGGTGTGTAGATAATGGATGGGTACACACAATATTAGGTTGATGCAGTTACTGACATTATTACGTCAAGGCAACTCATCAAAACAATATTTGCAACTTCAAAGGTTTGCCTAAATCAACAATTTTTTTCTTTCTTTTTTGGAACCATGCTTTTATTTAACTTGTGAGAACAGGTACCCTGAATTACTTTCTAGTGTAATGTTGTGGCCAGTCAGCGTAAAAACCTGTGTGCCATACATATCCCATGTGAGACATTGCAGTCTGGCTTCAGCTGCTCAGCATATGCCCCCTGTCCACTCTGCTCATTCAAGCCAGTACCAGTGCACTGAGCCACAGTGACCCTGTGAGGAGCCTAAATAGCCGCTGCAGCATGATGCCTGCGCTCATTACAGCAGCCCCAATAGCATCTCTGAGTGAGTGAGAGAAGCATGACTTCCCTCTTCCACCGCACACACACAGGGCTTCATTAAGAGTTGCTCTCGCCTCCTGCAGAAAGCGACAGGAGCTCAAGAGAGTGCCAGGGGTCCGGGTTGCCACAAAATCCTCTAAGCTTTGCTAAATTCCAACCTCCCAACCCTACTGCCAACTACCTCTCCCCTTCCCTGGGTATTCATATCCGTCACGGCACAGCAATCAGCTCCACTAGTCTCACTGCGAGATTTAAAAAAAATAAAATAAATAAAAAAATGAGGAAGAGTAGTGGAGAAAAAAAAAGGGTCCCCAGGTTTTCAATCAGAGCAATTTCATTTTTTTCAGAGAATTGAAGACACTCCTTTTAAGTGTTTAAGCAAGTGAGACAAAAGGCTATGAATATGCTGTTGCATCGATGTAACTGTCTTGTCTTACTACAGAGAAACAACTAATTGAAAGTATACATTTAATACAATATTAAACAAGATTTGTACTTGTGTTTGATTAAAAAAAAAAAAAAAAGTTTGCATTTCATCCACGAGTTTCATAAATGCAGCTCAGTCAGCTTCAAGAAATAAATAAAGGTATTACATGGTCAAGCTCTGCTGAAGATGAGCAAAACACCAGATACCAACCATCATTTGTATTGTGATGGACAATAGCATCTCCATATAGCTGAAGAATTGATCAAATAATATTTCAAACCTTTTCCAGATTTGTTTTAGGAATTTATAGTACCATTTCTTGTGTCTGTATGAAGTTCAAAACATCAGAAACACATATTGTGAGTCACATTATTCACATTGTCGTTATTAATGAAATATATATTATGTGGTCAGGTAAAATGCTGTATTTTAGTTTGTGTTGGCAAGTCATATTTTAAGACTATTATTGTTTGTGACAAATGCAAAAACTTTCTAGAACATAACAACACATCATTGTACTGGTAAACCTGTATCACTCTGAAGCCTTGAGTTTGGCATTTTGGTTGTTTCGGCATTGTTGTTTTTTTTGTTTTTACTGGTCATGATGATCTAGGAGTGGATCTGAAGGACAACTTGAGGACACTAGGGATGTCCATTAAGTAGTGACTTGTCATTTATAACAGTACCAAAAGTATACGCTGCTTTCTGGACCATAATTTTCTGAAAACACATCCTGCTGTATTGAAGACCACCTGAGGCTACGGATTGAGACCATAAACTCATTAGGAAAATGTTTGTGGAGGTAACACATCAAGTGAGAAGAAAGATCATTTTTCAATAGTCTCATATTAGTGATGCATGATATAAACATTTCTGGCTGATACCAATAAGACTTCTGATATTGTCGATAACCAATATTACCGATGTCGATATTCCATTTTTGTTCACATCGAAAAATGAGTATAAGTAAGCACTGTGAGAACATGAAAACTATTCATAAGAAGCCCATACCAAATTAGACCACATAGTCTTCTTTATTATGTGACAAAGGTATATCATATTTGAACATATTTGAACATATTTAACATTCAGGTCGAGGACCAATGAAGTAAAAACATCTGTGAAATAGCAGCAGTATCAAATGTAGAGACGAAGGCGCTAATGTTAGACAATCTTCAGTTTTTCACATCAACTATAGTTGTTCATCAGACTTATACTGATATATGGGAAAAAACGCTAATATCAGACGATTCCGATGTGGTCGCCGATATATCATGCATCCCTACTTTATATGCATATGGACTTTTTTATTGCCACCAAAGGAGTCGCCCCGTGCTGACCATTAGAAAGAATTCAGGTTAATGAATTGCTTTCACTCCTTAGGCCTTAATAGCAGCATCGCTCTTTTATATACACTATGGATGCAATGTATTATTGTTGAGCTCAATTTACTCTAGTTCACACTTTGGCACAAGTCTGCACAAATGCTTGTCTTTTTTATTTGTTGTAGTGTCAGCAGCATGAACTCCTGTAAATAAGGATGTGTATTCCCAACTATGAGATATTTAACTGGCTGCCTAAGCCAATCAGGATCAAGACGTTATAGTTGCGTTTACTATAATGTGCGAACACACCATGGCTTTTGTCGGTGCTCATGTTTTTCACTTTTTTTGTAGTCAGAAATGACAGATGCGCTTCTAAAACATTTTACTTAACTTTTATTTGTCTTATTAATAAGAATATGAAGGACAAGAAAACAGATTAGGGCAGAACAGTCACCGCTCTGAGGAAAATTCGCAATAGAGTCGCTGCTCCAGTAGAGGTTTTCCAGGCCCGTCTAAGTGGGATGAGACCCCAGGGAAGGCTGGGAACTCGCTGGAAGGACTACATATCTCAGCTGGCCTGGGAACACTTTGGGATCCCCCCAGGAAGAACTGGAAAATGTTTCCTGGGAGAAGGATGTTTTGAATGCCCAGCTAAGCCTGCTGAGCCTGATCGCTGGATAAATGGAGGGAAATGGATAGATGGATCTTTGTTAAAGTGAATTAGTGATGAATCCCCCTCATGCATGAATCATACATCAATAATAACCTAATTTTAGGCATGATCCATGGCAATGAAGATGTAGAAAAATAGAAACACACAGCAAAAATACCATATTGTCAGTATTTTAGAGACCCTCCCAAAAAGTTTCATGCTTTCAGGAGAGCTCAGGCTCTCTATGGCTGGGGAAAAGATCAATGTTGATACTTCCCTTAAGGTTAGAGGTCTGATTTATAATGAGATCATCAGACGTTAGAGCCATTATCTAACAGAAATTCTAATTAAGTTGAAGCTGGCACTGTCTGATTTAGTATCAGGCAAGATGATTTTACAAACGCTTATTCTGGTTTGCTTCTCTTTTTCTGTTTTGCTGCAATTAGCATCTTGTCGGTAAACACTTACCACTTGTCTTCTGGTGCTCCACAGAGTGGGTGTTCAACCTGCGAAAGGATGAAACACAGTCAACACGTCACACTGGAGAGCTAGATTTCCATGTTAAGCCCTGTAGACCTAGTAACTACTAATGCTCTTTGTGTTTTATTTGCTGTTTTGTTTCCACACCGTTGTTTCATCTCTTCAAAAAACAGACCTACATAATGGAAGTTACAACACCGTGCTGTTTTGCGGTAAAAAATTGGCAGTAAAATTCCTCATGTCTTTTCTTCAGAGCTGCTTATCCCAGCTCTCCTGCTCAGATGACGGCTAGATTTCTAGTTTTAACAGTCCTAGCAGTCTCCCTTTTCTTTCTGTAACTGAGGTGTAATCATACTCTCTCTCTCTCTCTCTCTCTCTCTCTCACAGCTGTCTAGTTGTGTAGACTAAAGAGGCGCTTTTCTTTGAGAATTCACCCATCTAGAAAGCCTCAGAGCGCGCTGCATCCACAGTGTTTGCTGCAGTAACCTTATTGTTTTTTGAAATTCCATCATCTTTTGCAGTCGTGTTGCACCAACCTCAGTTGATGAAATCACATTTACAAAGGTCCGTGAATTAAAACTGTGAGGGTGGGAAAACTGATCCGACTTGTCTCACAGTCTGCAGGTGAGGTAGCTGAATTAACAATAAAATGCTAAATAACGTTTCCCTATTCCTTCTTCCAGAACAAGCTCATATATCTTCCTTCTGTGGTTTCACTGGTCTCCTCTGATTGCTCTGTTTGACAGAATAAAAGATTGTCTTTGCAGCAGACTAAGCTGTTTCAGATGTGATGGCTCATACTGCAGTCAGGATGGATGTTGACACAGAAAGAAAATGAAGAATGGGGATAGGTTGCTACTAAATTCTGAGTTAAAATCCCTCGTGCCTGCAGTGCAGCCAGATAGCAGAGCAGTTTATCTGAGGTACTTTAAAAGGCCTGATTACATCTAAGATGATGGTAAGCAGAGTTGGCATGTTCGGGAGCGTAAAATGATTTTCATAACAATATGTTTTCGCTCTTAAAATTGAGAGCATCAGCAAGGCAGTTGCCGCAGATGCAGCAGATTACTGCTTAATGACTTTTAGCATTGCAGGAACTGGAAATGCTTTATAGAGCTTCAGCTTGAAATGGCAGTGTGTTTTGGGGGAAAAATTTAATTTGAAAAGAAGGGGAAAATGGGGGAGAAAAAAATAAACCGCTTGAACTGACCTTGACCATCGCCACTGGCAGAAAGGAGACAGCACACATGTCACGGATTTTTACTTCTTTGACCTTGGAGAGTTTAGCTTCGGTTTATGAACAAATCTTCCTTAATGTCGGAAACAAATGCAAAGGCTATAATCTGTATGTAGGCGGAAAGGACTTTGGTGGTGACGATGCTGTGGGGACATTCAATAATTTATGACTTAATTCTATGAGTTCCCAAATTGAGTCTTTGGTTTATTGTAAGAAGCGAGATCCAAGAAAAAGGTCTGGCTTAAGCGTTTTACTGTAGTAGCATTATGCGTGCTTGCTTTTACAGCACATTTATGTTTATTCATCCTATGCTGTCATATTGCCATGGGAACCAGGCTGTGTGTGGGATTTTGAGGTAAAACTGCTTTATGCATACGCAGCAAATATAAAAGTATTTATTCAACAAATATGCAGAATATCAATCGTGAACTTAAGACTTTTTTCTCTCCTGCTGAGTCTTTATTATTTATTGCATTAATGTCGTATTTGTGTCCCTTAAGAATTAAAGTGGTGCTCTAGCACAGTCAGAGTCAAAGTGTGCAATTAAAATCTTTGTTCCTTATCATCACGGACACTTCCTCTGTATTCTGACAGCTGTGCTGCTTTGTGGAGGATATATATATATATATATGTTGTTTTTTTTTTCTCTGTTTCATATTTGAATAATGAATTCATCGCTCTGCAGTCCCAGCTGTGTTGACTATTCATGATGTAGACACAGATTCTCCCCTGAGTGCTGTATTTGGACTTGAATCCCATCCCTGTGGGCATGTTGGATTCAGTGTCACTTCCAGCCTCCCCGCCCACCCTGGCATGGAATGGTGCATTGCACTTGTTTGGATCTTCCTTCTGTCTTAAACTTTTGTCGTTGTTGGCAGGTACCACTCGGCAGCCCAGAGAGGGGGAAGTTCCTGGAGTGGATTACAATTTCATCAGCGTGGGGGAGTTCCGAGATCTGGAAGAAAGTGGACTGCTGCTGGAGAGTGGCACCTATGACGGTATGTTCTCAAACACAACACAATGACACTGTAGAGCAGGGTGTAGAGATACAGTTGACTTTGGCAGAGGAAAAATAAGTTGAAAGTTAGTGTGTTATTACTATTATAGAGTTAATGTGGATTACACCCTGAAAAAACCTTTTCAGGACTGCACCTCAATGCTTTTAGAGTGTTAAAATGAAATTTGTCAAGCACCAAGTATTTAAAATTGTTCAGAATGAAAGTTGGCTTTAAAGGCTAGTCAGATTCCAACTTGCTTTCTGATAAGAAAATAAAATTTGCTGATTAAAAATCAGTGCTGTGCGCATTTCAGATTTATTCAAGTTGTTGTTTTTTGATGTTTTGTGTTTTTTTTGGTGAACCCCATTTGTTCATGCTGTTTCCACTTAGTTTTATTGGCTGGATTTTAGAGCTTGCACTTGTAGTGAACCAGGCTCCCGGAGCGGGAGGTTTCTTCCTTTTCAAAGGAAATTCTTTCTCTCCACTTTCACCAAGACTCTTTCTAAGAGAGAATCTTTGGATTCATCGGGTTTTCCATGTATAATTTTGTTGGCTATTACCCTGAATTACTTGAAATGTGCTGTATAAACAATGGTGACTACATGACTTCACTAGTCGGCTAATGTGGTCTGATACATTCTTCCATTTGAGTTCTTGTATATTTTGTGGTCACGCTAACAAACTAAGATAACTAAACAAGAAAGCACTGGGACTGGCAGGTAGCTTAGTTTGGGGACAACTTAATGACTGTCATCCTGTACCATTACCACAACTTGGAGACCCACGTTGACATCAAATTGTGGTGACAGAGAGCAGGTTATTCAACTTTTTATATTGTTTTTTTGTTAATTAAAGACATGTCAAAATATAAAGAACAGAATAGAATGCAGGGGATCTTTAGCAACTTCTCTGCACTTTCTGATGAATGAAGAAAAAATGCATTATCACATGCAAACTTGCACACGTGTTACCAAGGTTACCATTTGACCTTAGAGAAATTGGTCATTCACTGTAATCAGATGGCTTATGCAAATCTTAACCTATTAATCAGTGCTCAAACCACATGTCTGCCATGTGGTTTGAGACATGTGGTTGATCAGTTTTGCAGTCAAACCAAGAACAAACCATGTCTGAGTTCATTTTGAAGACATAGACTTCAGTTGCACTTTGCACCAACTTATAATAAACCAAATGGAAAAACACAGCAGATTGTATGAACTGCAGCAAAAGCACCAGAGTGCAATCCATATATCATTTGACTGATATTATCGCCCGGTATTGAACTGTCACAGGTACATCAGTTTCGGCATATGTGTTGTACGCCAATGTGAAGGCTTTCTTTTATAAAACAACACATAAAAAGATGCATGGGGTGATGTAGAAATGGTGTCATCAAACAGTTTGTCCAGCAGAGCACTTTACTGTTTACAACATATTCAGCACTGTCTGCAGCACATGTAGCACAGCAACAAACTTTGAGAGTCAGACTTTGTTTTCATGGTTAAGTTGCTAGCTAGTTTGTGAAATACTGTGCTGGAAGGGGGGCTGCAGGGTGGTGCAGTTGGTAGCACTGTTGCCTCGCAGCAAGAAGGTTGCC